GATCAAACCCCTAGAGGCCAAGATAGAAGCCGTTCGTGATTGGCCCAGACCCAACACCAAGAAAAAAGTCAAATCATTTCTTGGGTTGGTGGGCTACTACAGAAAGTTCATGCCAGGGTGGAGAGACCGCTCATCATCTGAGGTCCCAAAATGAAGCTCATTTAGCTTTCTCAGCTTAGACGTAGTGGCCCAATTTTTCTAAATGAATCTCACTTTCTCTTTCAACGGGGGGGAGGGGGGGAAGCCGGAGGGGGGGCATCGCAGATATAACAAATACGCGGAATCTAATGGGGTTGGGCTTCACTAGGTAAACAGATGGTCAAAGTCAAGACTTTTGAGTTTCGGCGAAGGATGAGAATAGAGAGGCATCGTTTACTGTATTTGGGTTATCATTTCCAGGGCTTTTCGGTACCATTCGCGGCGGGGCTTTGGGAGGTCTTGCTGGGGAACGCGACAGGATTCAGGCCAGTTTAAGAGAGAAGGGCCACATGGACTCGGTAGGGATCGGGGCCAGGGAACCTCACGCGCAGCGATTTACCCGGAAACAAGTCCCTTTGCGCTGAGCAGAGCTTAGCAGCTCGATCGGCGGCCGAGAATGCGAGATGTGGGGGGGGGGAGGGTTTGATACATCCTAAAATCTTCGGGGGAGCCGTTTCTGGCCCTCCACACGCGCAGCGATTTACCCGGAAACAAGTCTCTTTGCGCTGAGCAGAGCTGAGCAGCTCGATCGGCGGCCGAGAGTGCGAGATGTGGAGGGGGGGGTTGATACATCCTAAAATCTTTCGGGGAGCCGTTTCTGGCCCTCCGGCGACGGGGCGCTCTTCAGTCGGGCTACAAACGGAGTCGCCCTGGCCCTATGGCTTCATCAGCTGGACAGCAGCCGGCGCAGGTTAAACCCGACAGCCGAGTTTCACGAGACTTCCTCGCGAGTAATTACTGATCCGGCTCCAGTCTTAAGCGCTCTCTCTGGGCTGCTTTTGGTCAGGATACGAGCCTGGTCCGAGCGTGAGCTGGAAAGCTCGGAAGGTCCCCGCCTCGCGTTCCCATCATCCTTCCGCGGAGCCCTCTCTCCGGAAATGTGGAGGCGCTAATTCTAACGTGTGAAAATGCTATTTACAATTAAGCAGTGCATAAGTATATGATTCTAAATGAGATCAAAACACGGGGCAGGAGGGAGAAGAAAAGAACGAAAAAGAGAGAGGAAGGCGAGCTTTTGGAAAGAAAGAAAGAAAGAAAGAAAGAAAGAAAGAAAGAAAGAAAGAAAGAAAGAAAGAAAGAAAGAAAGAAAGAAAGGGATTTTCCTTTCTTAAACGAGAAGCTTCCCCGGCGCTTCTTTTCTATGCACGGAAAGGCAACGATGTCCAAAAGAGAGAAAACGACGCCTATAAGGACGCACGAAAATCACAGAAAGGGAAGCAAAAGACGGTAGAAAGAAACCTTTGCCTCAGTCGGTTTGGGTGACAAGTAAGAAATCTATCTTTTCCCAGCGTTGTTTTAAAAACAGATCGAAATGGGCTTGGTTCCCTGCTGCTTCCCTAACAGGTTATCCTTAGAGGAGTTCGGTTCGGCCTCTCCTCCTTCCTTCCTCCCCTGCCCGCCGCTGCCCGCCAAGATCTATAAGGCCATTAAACGGGTCCCTCTTCTACACCCGAATGCCCGACCCAGTTGGGAGGAAACGTGGCGTGTTCCAACAGGGCTCGTCCCACCCGACGGGTTTTCATAAAGAGGAAACGGCCCCTGATCCTGAGATTTCTTAAAGACATGGATGGCAAAATTAAGAGAGTGGACTTGGAACGGAGGTGAGACGAGGGTCTAAAATTTGACCGCGGCAAAGCCGTAAACCTGTGACTTCGCCTCTTTAGGGAAACGGGAGGAAACGGAAACATCAGACACGAAGCCTGGATCTGGACGGTTCCCGTCCGTTAATGTGTACAAATAAAGAAGCCAACGAAATACTGTATACTAACGCGCTATTAAACGAACAGCTCTTCTGGAGGAGCGAAGGCCAGGGGTTCTCCTCGTCTATTAAAGCCCTCCAACCGGCCCAGCCTAAATTTGATGCGTTGGATTGTGACCAACGACTTCCAACTGGAAAAAAACATCGCTTTGAATTCGACAAATACATGTAATTTAATAGCAGAAAAGGATAAGGCTGCGCAATTAGGTATTTAAGAGAGCGCTCCTCCCTATGTCTCTTTCCAAGTAATTGTTTACTCAGCCGGTCTGCTGCGAGCGATTTCTGCTGAAATTAAACGGGACTTCCTCCCATGTCGGTAGAAATACGGATTAGAGTTTAAGCGGTTTATTCTGCAATCATGTTCGCATTCTTATTATTCCTCCTATTGCGTTATAGCATGCTTATTATTGCCTTTAATTGTTATGGTCCTATAACGTGCTTGTTATTGGCTTGAGTATTTGCATCGGTTCGAAAGAGCAGCAAATGTAAAGCTCCGTTTCCTTCCATTGAGCAACCTGAAAGCACGGGTAGTCTCGGGATGTTGCGAGAGAGAGCAAACAAGGACGTGTAGCCGGAGTCGCGGGATTTAAAATAAAAAATCCTTCCCCACTAAAGAGAGACTTATGTTCACACAGCCGGCAGTATCCAAAAAAAGCGGAACTCCCCAATGGACACGCGCTCAAAAGACAACCCCAAAGCAACCGATCTGACCTCCGAAGGCTGTCATCTGATGCATCTCTTTACTCGAGAGTCAGTGTCATTGAAATCACTGGGGTTTATTGCCGAGTAAACAAGCCCCGGAGGATCTGCTGTCATTCAGGATATTTAAACCTTCCCGGCTGGATATAGCTTCGGGTTGATCTACAACAAAAAAAAAAAAAAAAAAAAAAAAAAACAAGCGGCGAATCTACCGGAAAAAAAGTTGAAAGCAAGAAAAAAGACGGCGGAAATGGTTCTGGAGCGCGTAAATTACGCTGGTGGGAAGATCCGCAGGCGCGGAGAGGAAGAACCGGCCTCTTCCGAAGCGGACGGTGTTGGAGGCAGGCGGACGGCGTGTTTGTGGAGTCCTAAGATTAGGGCGCTCGGGGTCAGGATGGGTCCTGAGCGCCAGGCTGCCACGTGGTTTTAAATTCCCCCACACCCACAATACTTCGTTTGTGGGTGAGTCCCTTGCTCGGGCGGCGAGAGCCTTTTTTCCCTTCTGATTTTGAGGGCTCGCCATGGCTTAGTTTCCTGGATTGTATGAACGGGGCTCCCCAGGCGTTTCTCAAGAAAAGCCTCGGGTTGGCTGAATTGGGCCTCAGGTGATCGAGAAAGAAATAGTTGCCCCCCACACACACACACACACACTTCCTTGCTTAAATTCTCCACCCCTTTCTCTTTGTCCCAGAAGCTGCTCCCTTTGTACCTCTGCCTGCCTGTCTCTCTGTCTCCTGCTGGCGCCACTAAGGGGAAGAGTTTGGGGCAGGAACCCAGGGCCCCACAGAGCAAAGGGAGTGGAGAGGCGGAGGGGATGCCCTCCCCAGGCTGGTCTGCCTATTTTTGAACTAGGGAGAGGTATGCTGGGCCACCTAACCATGTGGTCTCCGGCAGATCATTCAACTCTGGAACCGAAGATCACCTAAGGGCACCCCCTGATCCTGCCTCTCGAACCAGCGGCCGTCCGGATCGCCCTGGAAAAAAAAAGCAGGGCGTAACAGCCACGGTTCCCTCTCCCTGTTTCGACAGCCAGCTTCCAGGGATAACGCTGCCCGCTGCCCGGAAAGCTGGCAGTTCAATTCTGCCGACCAGGCATGAACTCTTGGACGAATTCTCTTCGAAAGCCTCGCTTGAAATGGTGGTGGTGAAAAGCCCCAAAACTAAGCAGGCTCTGGCCGCCCGCTCCGATCATTCCTTCCGCGACACGGTTCCGTCGTTGCGCGTCGTGCGAATCTATCCCTTTTGCCTGTCCCGAGTCTCGTCGCCGATTGATTTCAGGGTTGGGAGATAAAGCGGCCTGCTCTTCACCGACTCGCTCCCTTACCCGATCCCCAGTGTTGGCTTCACACAGACATCTAGACAGAGCCTATAGCCCAGGACCTTAGATTATGACGCGCCTCTTCAGTAAAAACAGATATGATGAGAATAATAAGGCTTTGTTTTGGCAACGTGACGGGGCCGATTAAACCTGACCCAGCTAAGGACCTCAGCTTGTCCGAATCCGAGTCCGACTCTGCCTGCAACGCTGGTGATTTGACAGACTTCTTGCCGCGGCGATCTTCCCTTTTTTCCCCCTATGTTAACCAGCGAGCCAAAGAAATAATGCCCGACGAACATATGCTGTTGTGCGTTTATTTGTGTGAATCAGCTTCTTCTGTCCGCTTCTGCCTTCATCTATGCTCGTCTTTCGATGAAGGCGGTGTTTGGGTTAGGGAAGGGCTGAAGTGCCTAATCAGGGTCACCAAATATATCTTACGTCTGGGATAATTCCCTCGCCCCCACCCCGATTTCCCGGGCCCCTCACAGCACAGGGTGCGGACGTCTAAGAAAGTAGGCCTGTGAGAACACCCGGCTCTCCTCAAGAACTGATGGACTTTATGGGAACGAAGTGTGACACACACACCCCCTTCTCCCCAGTTCTTCCCGCCGCTTTTCCCAGGGAATCCCTCCCGCCAATCAGGAGGTTCCATGGGCTTTCTTTGGGGGTCCAGAGGCTTCGCCATCGCGGAGACACCGGCCTCTGTGTGTGTGTGTCTGTGTGTGTCTGTGTGTGTCTGCTCGCTCTGCGGCCAAGCGGAGGGCCCAGGCCTCCTTGGGTGTCCAGCCCCCTTGCGCGACTCACCGCCACTTGGTCCTGCGGTTCTGGAACCACGTCTTGACTTGGGCGTCGGTCATCTTGAGCGACTTGGCGAGCGCCGCCCTCTCGGCCGAGGCCAGGTACTTCTGCCGGTGGAAGCGCTTCTCCAGCTCGCAGATCTGCACCCGCGAGAAGGAGGTGCGCGGCTTCTTGCGCTTGGGCGGGGTGCGGTTCTGGTAGGGGTGCCCGATCCTCCGCGTCACCGTGAAGGGCGTGAGCGCCGCCGCTGCTGCGACAGGAGAAGGAAGGAAGGGAGGAAGGGAGGCAGACAGGTGAGCCAGCGAGCGAGCGAGAGAGCGAAGAAAGGGCCTGCAGCAGCTGGCCTGGCTGAGAAACCCAGGGTGCCCCTCGCCAGTCCTGAAACATCTGCCTCGGACAGAGAGGGGGTGGGGGGTGGAGGGGGAGGCAGAAGGGTTTCTTCTCTCAACCCTCCCCCAACTGAGTCGAGGGTCAATAAACTGGGGCTGCCGGGAGTCCACCGGCTACCCGGGATGTTGGCGCACGCACTTGCCTCGATCCTCGTGAACCAAGTGCGCGTCCGCGGGACTTGATCGCTGTCTCTGAGTGGGAGAGAATATGGTCCCCCCCTCCACCCCACCCCACCCTCATATGCTCAGGGTCTGGGCGGGTGGCAAAAACGGTGGGCTTGTTCCACCCATTCCCCACCCCCCACCCCCCCAGGTCCCTGCTTAGGGGTGACGTGGGGATTCAAAGCCTCCCTAGACAGAGCGTGAGAAGGGTCCCTCGCAGTTGTTATTCCGGATCAAATAGTACAGCGGATCCGGAAGGGGGGCCCTAATCCTGGAGAGCTGTACCCGAAACTCGCCACCAAACCCCACATCGCCCACCCCGGCCGCTTGTAATACAGGCTCAGTTGCCCCCTGGCATCAAAAAGGAAGCTCAGGCGATGAACGGACATATTGAACAGGCGTGCGTCGGAGGATACCGCTCGTTATTCCTGGCCTTTGTCACTTTTATAGCACTTTCCCGGGTCTAAAGTGTTTTGCGCAGAGAAAGAATCGCCACTGCTACGCAGTGATACTCTGTTCAAACCAGGCTTCAGTGGAACTGGCCGAACGGGGAAAGGCACTTGTCGGTCCGGGCTGCAAGAGCAAATAATTCTAATATATAAATCTATTGGTATTGCTAGTGGTACCACTCTCTTTTTCCCCCTGCAAGTTTCAAGATCCTGTGGTTTCCTGTTCTTTTTCTCCCCATCTGGCTATCGAGAACTTTATAGCCTGCCGCCCTTCGACACCCCAGACTTCTCTCCCTCCCTCCCCCGTCTCTTTCTTTTCCCATATTAATTAATTAATTAATTAATTTTGTACGATGAACAGATCAGATGACTTTTCCCATATATAAAATACGTTCACCTTGAAGTGACAGAGCACTTTCCCGACCTCGGATTCAGGGGCTTCGTTTGGTGCGTGAGAAGGCGCTTCTAACTAACCCTCTTTCAGTCTTGCCCTTCATCTTAATCTGCGCGTTTAAATCAACGTCGTAGGTT